CCCGAAGACTAGTCCCAAACAGCAGACAAGAGTCCAAGATAAATCAAAAGCAACTACAATCCAAAGAAGCTGCAGCATTTTACTCCAGCCAGAAAGTCAGTGGCCATCAAAGTGCTCCACCCATTTTGTAAATAACCATAACACTCAAGGTATCAACTGCCAGGTGGCATTTATCCCACGGTCACCCATATAATAAACTGCAATGGTGCCCAAATCCTAAGTACATGATATCACAAACTGAAATTGCTGCCTAAACCGGAAGTTTGACTTAGTTGACATATGTTGGACCCCGAAGTTATCACTTCTGCCAAATTTTTTGGTCCTCCTGACCAGTCTGGAACCTGAAAAAGACAATGACAGCATATAAGAAACACAAATTACATACACAACCAAGCTTGAGTCTAATTTTACATTACATGTGTATATGTGGACCCATCATTAGCAACAAATACCCCATATCCCTCTGGTACCTGCAAAAAGAACTCATGAGTGTTGAATTAAAATACCCCAAACAACCCCAAAATCCCATACAAAAGTAGAATACCTTATTTTTATCCCCCCCTCTGCCTCTCCTCCTTGGGATCCCCTTCCTCCTCTAGATCCTCTTCCTCCTCTAATGACTCTCCCTCCTCTTCCCAGTCTACTTGGTTCGGCTGTGGCTGAATTGTGGCTAAGGGATTCAATTGTAGGTGTAGAAGCTTGAGAAGATTTTCATCATTTCTTGGTCGACCCCTGTGTCTCTTTGGTTGAGGCTCTTTGACAATAGCCTTATCTCTATTTGGACATCTTCTCTTATTGTGCCCTTTAATTTGACAAACACTACATGTCATCTTCATATCAGCAAATTCACCTTCTAATTCAGCTTCACCATCATCAATATGTAACATGAGACGTTCGGTCTTCTAGATGAGATACCAAAGAAAGTAGTAGAGAAAAACATCATCGTGTCTATCATTTTGGCTTCTTCTTCTACCATTTAATTGTAATGTAATGCACCATTCTCACAAATTTTATATTCTGTAAACTTTGATAACAATTTATATTTTTGCATTTTATCATTACTTTTAGCTACCCCTTCATTTTCGTTCTGGTTCCGCCACGTGACGTACACCCGGTTTTTAAAATCTGGTAAACCCGTTCCTTATACCAAATCCACCAAACCCGGACTTGGGACACCCGCGCGCGCGCACACACACACACACACACACACATAGAGTCCCGCGTCAGGCCGGCCTGACCGGAAGGCTCGTGCGGCCTTCCCCTTTTGGGTGCCTTCCCGGTGGAATTTTTTGATGAATTTTGTTTAGCATGTTCTTCATCAAGTCTAGTTTATCCATACCAAATTTCAGCTCAAAATTCGACCGGGAAGGCAGTCAAATAAATTCTTGAAACATACTGCACTTTATATATGCGCAGAATGCCCAATATGTTTCAAGAATTTATTTGACTGCCTTCCCGATCTAGAGCGGAAATTTGGTATGGATAAACTAGACTTGATGAGGAACATGCTCAAAAAATTTCATCAAAAAATTCCACCGGGAAGGCCCCCAAACGGGGAAGGCCGCACGGGGCTGTCCGGTCAGGCCGCCTAACTCGAACAGCCCTCTATACACACACACACACGTGTGTGTGTGTGTGTATACACACACACATATATATACCGGTCGGAAGTTTTTTTTCTCACAAACCTGTTTTTGACCGGGGCCGGTCATCTGACCAACCGGCGCCGGTTGGGATGATTCTTGCTTAAACACAACGACGTGCAAGAGGATTTTTTTATGGGAAAACTTCATCTTCCTCATTTTTTGATCAAATATTGCTTCATACCTGATTGTTGGGTTCGAATGGACCAAAAGATGTCATTCTTTAGCTTATATAAAGCCCTCAATTCATCAAACAAAAGCATTCCATTCCATTCTTTAATTCATAGCTTTTATATTTTGTTCTTGCTATTTTTCTTCAAGTTCTTGAGGAGGGAAGTTTAACCTCCAAAATTATTGGTGTTTAGGTATTATTTCCTTTGTAATTTCATGTTCCATTACATTTCAATATTGTATTGTGATTAATATGAGCACTAGAGGCTAATTTATTTGCTAAGGTTAGAGATGAACTTCTCTGCCCACTAGGTGTTTGATAAAAGTTCTAAACCAATAAATATTAAATTGTGATTGAGAATAGAAATATATCCGGCATTATATGATACGGGTGTGATGTCTTGATATTCAATGGGGTTTTCGATAGATGAATGTAAGCCGTAACGGGACTTACACGTAATGAAAACCACGCTCTCGCTGCCTTAACCGAAATTGAGAATATATTCACGACATCGTATTCATAATTATTGGTAAAGAACTAATATTCAACCCTATTAAAACATTTAAGTGATTCCCGAAGCCTTAGTTGTTGTTATCATTCATCTTAAACTCAAATTAATTTAAGTTATATCCCTGAAAATTAAAGAGAGGAACCAAGTTGTTGTTTTCACAACAACACACAAATCAAAATCCTTGCACTTTACTCATTTGTCTATTTAAAGTTATCTACTCTCGGACTAAATTAAACAACGTTTCCCTATGGATTCGACCCGGTATTTTACTAAAATTTATTACTATATCGGCACTTGTACACTTGCAAGTTTAGCCCGGTCAACTCTACAATTTTAAAGACTTGATGAAATGATTTGTACTTTTTACATATACTCCGAATTACGGATACTGTAGACTTTCAAAGAAAATCTTCAGTGAAGATTCTCATTTATTGCCATCTTATCGATCTGCCGGACTTCAAATGGGTGAGCATTTATTGAGCTGTACTTTTACTTCAGTGGAGCTTGCAGACCCCTTAGTGTTGACCCGGCCCAGACCCGACCCACAATTGACCTGGTAGTTTAGGCTGAAAATTTGGCTGAAAATCCACTCCTTTTGTATATAATAGATTGTACTTTTTAAGATTAACAAAAAAATGATTACACTTACACATTGATTATATACAAAGAAATGACTACATATAAACTCTAGATACTAAATAGACTAAAAAGATACCGGTGTATGAATTAATAGCATACATTTAAACCATAAATCAATTTATGGTTATGCATACTTGCAATTAAACCACGCCATATTATTTTTACATTTATAGTTATTGTCTATACATTTAAAGCACGTCTTATTATTTATATACTGCAAATAAAATTACTATTTAGAGTATAAATGAATCTATCCCGTAAACAGTTTAGGCTAAAGCATACCTACAAATGAAAAGATTAGATTGAATTCCTCCTGGAGCAATAGGCCAGTAAACAAAAACAGACATTCCTGCAGCCGTAAGCAACCTGCTTTAGGTCATTTCAGGTAACCCAATAAGGCATGCACCAGCATAACTAGTTGTAATCTAGCAGAAAGATGAAAGTGATACACTTTACCCCAAAAATAAGTCCCAAAAGGGATACACTTTATAGAAAACAACCATTGCCTTCTAATTATTAGTAAATCACAACCATAACAGATAAACCACTTCAATATCAGGACGATATCATATGTTCTAGTGTTTAGTTGTGTGTAGAACTCAAACACTACATAGTTTTGCAGCCATATTACTTCACAACCATAACATACCACATTCTCAATTTTCCATTTGGGAGCATTTTTGGCATGACTATGTGTGCATCAATCCCACACAGTTTTGCAGCCAAGGCAAGAGCTGCAACATACAAATTGAAAGAGATAAAGACTCACCATTGGAAAAACAGATTATGATTTAGTAAAAAATTATGATTAGAAAGCTAATTAAATTATACCTGCTATGAGTAACTACCCCCTTAGCAGCCAGGACATCATTGAGTTAAAATGTTAAGAATCCTTGAATACAATGGTTGCCAAATAACCAAACTAAATGCTGAAATAAGATCCACTACTAATTGCTTCAACAACTACTCAATGTTAATTAAGACTAAATTAATTACACTTTTTCAAGGACAGTGAGCAGTGAACGTAGTGGGTCATTTGTATTTAATGCATTGAGTATGACAAGAAGTGCAACAGTTATGACAAGAAGTACAATGATATGACAAAAAATGCAGTGATTATGACAAAAAATGAAGTAATGTATCGCATCAATACTGTCATGAAGTGTGCACTTATCAAATAAGAAAAAGAACTACTATGTATAAATTCCCCAGAAATGATAATTTAGTGCCATAACTCCTACATGAAGTTCCACAACGCCAATAGAACGTGCATTATATTCAATTACAAGATAAAAATTTAAGTTATCAAATCTAAAAAGGGAAAAAGGAACGATAAATTTATGACATTTTTGTAACACTTTAAAAAAACATTTTCGCATAGTCGTGCAGTAACGTAGACATAAAGCGCAGTAAATATCGTGCAATAACGTCTTCATAAAGTGTAGTATTTTCAGACGAAAGTAGTGAAAAAAGGCACCCTTTTTAACAAGGGTGTTTCCATCCTTCAACATTTTAATATGCATATTTTTTCTCTAAATTTTTAGCCATATGAGTATTTAAAAACAAAGCTAGTCATATTTCAGGAAACTCGATATGTTTTACAGTTTTAGTGATATGTTAGAAGAAAAAAGTTATTTGTACACATTCTGCACATATTGTACGTATTTATGTGCACACACAGAAAATGTAGACTTCCTAATTGCTTGTATACACACAATTGACTTGTAAGCTATACCAAATTTTGATGACGGAAATAGATTAAAAAAATCTCATAAAATGTACTTCCTCCGTTCTTAAATAAATGCAACGGTCAACATTTCACACTTGTCGAGACACAACTTTGACCATTAATATATATAATTTTGTATTACTGGAAAATTAAAAAAAATGAGATTTTGAAAATTTACAATGAGACAAATTTAACAATATTATTTTCATAAAAAATATTAATACAATAATAAATAAAATGTAATCAAAGAACATGTGAATAATGTAAATATTTATTAAAGAATACTTAGTATGTTATCTTTCCAGAATTTGAACATCACATGCCCACAGCAGATACTGCCCTCTTCCTAACCAACTGTGCGCACAGTCGGAAGCTAAAATGGAGCCAAGTCGAGAAGAAGGTTCAGCCAAGATGAAAAGAGAAGAGTTGGAAGGGAAATGGCGGCTCTACGAGGCCTACAATGAGCTTCATGGCTTGGCACAGGAGTTCGACACGCCGTTCGATGCGCCGGCTGTGCTGGTGGTGGGCCACCAGACCGACGGCAAGAGCGCCCTCGTTGAAGCCTTAATGGGCTTCCAATTCAACCACGTCGGCGGCGGCACCAAGACTCGCAGACCCATAACTCTACACATGAAGTACAACCCCGACTGCGACTCCCCTCTCTGCCATCTCTTGTCCGATTCTGACCCATCTGTTTCCCACGAAAGATCTCTACAACAAATTCAGGTGCGCTCCGCCGCAACACAGTTAGGTGTACTCATTCTAAACCTCTACGAATGTCAGCATTTTTATGTGTAATGAGAGTATTGTGACCCGATGTTGCATGGAAGTGTATGTAGACTGCTCCTTGTGATTTTTATTTTTTTGTTTCGGAATTTTGATTTAGGCGTTTATAGAAGCTGAAAACATGAGGTTGGAGAAGGAGCCATGCCAGTTTTCTGCAAAGGAAATAATAATCAGAATAGAATACAAATATTGTCCAAACCTAACAATTATAGACACTCCTGGACTTGTTGCGCCTGCCCCAAGCAGAAAGAACCGGGCTTTCCAGGTACAATTTTTGCCTCTTGACTTTATTTAGTATTCAAATTATGCTACATACCTGTGGTATGAAGTTTGAGACTGCACATTGTAGGCTCAAGCTCGTGCAGTGGAATCTCTGGTGAGAGCTAAAATGCAGCATAAGGAATTTATCATATTATGCCTTGAAGATTGCAACGATTGGAGCAATGCTACTACACGAAGGGTCGTTATGCAGGTGTTCATTCCTTTTTCAATTGATTTTTATTTATCATATGTTCTCCACAATGACTATAACCACCATATGAACTCATGGTTATCTCATGATATTTTCAAGCAAGTGGGAAAAGCCTATGCTGTTGACAATTTTGACACTGTATCCGTTATTCCTGCTGTAGTCTCTAAATCAATATAGTTTTGTATAATGACAAAAATCTCCAATTCTGAATTTGCAATTGTCTTACAATGAGGGTGAAAGTTGCTCAGAGGGATTTCTTTCTCGAACCATATACAGATTGACCCTGAGCTGTCAAGAACAGTCGTTGTTGCAACCAAACTTGACACGAAAATTCCTCAGTTTGCACGGTCTTCAGATGTGGAAGTTTTTCTCTCTCCTCCCGCTTCTACACTTGATGGCTTCATGCTAGGCGGTTCTCCATTTTTCACATCTGTGCCTTCCGGTAGAGTTGGTTCTGGACCTGAATCAGTTTACAGATCTAACGACGATTTCAAACAGGTTAATACATGAGTTGACTCGTGAAAACTTTCATATTTGTGTCCAACTTTTGGGCTATCATAGGTTTAAGAATTTAGACTTAACATCCAATGGTCATGTCTAGAATCTGAAATACAAGAAAAACACGATTAACTGTGTTTGTCCTGTGGTTCATGTTGGGACATAAAATTGAATTTTCATTTATGGAGAATTATTATTCGTTACCATATAAAATGGCACCGGTTTTCATGCTGGACATAGATTAGATAAGTTATTGATTAGGTCTCTGGTATTTCATGTATGTTCTCTAACCGTTCCAAATTCCAACCACGCTGATTGATAGGCTATTTCATCAAGGGAAATTGAAGATATTGCAGCTCTGGAGGAGAAGCTTGGCAGAGCTCTTTCAGGACAGGAAAGAATCAGAATAGGTGTTAGCAGTCTTAGGCTGTTTTTGGAAGAATTGCTTCTTAAAAGGTTAGGAGTTTCCCTACTTTCTACTTGAAGTTTGTTTGCTTTCAGGCTCAGCTTCAGATGACACAGGCCCCACTTGGTAGCGAGGTCTGGCCTATGCTGGATTTCTGATGGTCATCAGAACAGGCCTTAGCTTAAAAAGTAATTTTTCATTTACTTAGTTATTTAGCTGAAATGGATGTTAACAAACATGTTTTCTTTTAGAAAATCTGTCCGATTCAGCCATTTATGCCAAATAACTCATACCAGATGGGCCCTTAGCTTAATTAGTTCTGATATTTTGAGACATGTGCTGTTATGTAAGGTATATGGATAGTGTGCCATCTATCATTCCACTCCTTGAAAAGGAGTACCGAAGCAGTACGAGGAAGCTAAATGAAATTAATCACGAACTCAGGTTTGCATCTTGTTTAGGTGATCTAGAGTTTGTCATTGCACTCTAGTGCACTCGCTAACGTTATTCCTTCAATATGTACTTCAGCTCGTTGGACGAAGTGAAACTCAAGGAGAAAGGCAGAGTCTTTCATGATCTCTTTCTAACCAAGGTTAAAACCTTTATCTCTAGCTCTAGGACACTTGTCTCCAGAAGTTCTGCTCATACAATATTTCTGGCATAACTGTATCCGATCAAGTTTTTTCTTTCTGAATGTCTGTTATAAAATTTGAATGTCTTGATAGCCATAAGCCATGCACATAAAATCACCTAATTCCTAAGCTTTTATTACTAAAATCAAGAGTATGAGGATTTGAAATTTAGCATTATCTTAATATTTTAAAAAGAAATTGCTCCAAATAGGAGCATAACGTAGACAAAGTGCACAAATAGGAGTAGTAATGTTTTATTCTCGTAGAAGGACTTATTTGATCCGATTAAATGTGTACATGTTGACATCTTCCCCAATTAGGAGTGAATAATCCTGTAAACACTGCTGTTATTTAAAGAATTTACTCTATTTTAAAATCTGTGCTAGCTTATTAATATTCTGACTTAGATTACCTTTACTTCACAGTTATCACTGTTATTGAAAGGGACAGTTGTTGCACCACCTGATAAATTTGGTAATCCATCTTTTTTCATAGCTCTGATTCATCATTACTTTTACTGAACGGGATAGTACTGGAAGGCCTTGGTGCTGTTCATACAAAAATTTCCTTAGGCTAACTTAACTCCAATAACAGCATTCTGTTACTCGTTCTGTCTCATATTTATTTACTCTATCGTCAGTGTTCTCCACAAATAAAAGATCAATCTCTCTTATATTCATTTTCATGGTGTCCATAGTCCATACTGCACAAGTCATTTTTCATTAGTCAAAGTTCATCTTGAAATTGATGTTCATGTCCAAATTCTTTTGCAAATATGAAATCTGGAAATATCTATTTTTTAAGTAAGAGTGTGAACAGGCTCTTAGAAAAGTAGGTATTGGGGTATTCCATGGAGTCATGCCTTTGCATTGCAGGAGAATCTCTACAAGATGAAAGGATCAATGGAGGAGCGTTTGTTGGATGTGATGGTCTTCAGCTCCCACAAAAGTTAATACCTGTAAGCTTTCATTGTCTGTAGCTATATTTTCATTTTTTATTTTCAATGTTATTAAAATGCGGGGATCAGTTCTGTAGAACAACTTGAATCTGTTGATAAACCTCTAGGTGTACTTAATTACAGGCATGCAAGTATCAGTTTACCGTAACAATTAATGGTAAATCATCGTGTTAATAATTTCCCATTCTGGTGATGTCCACTTGTTTTCTTCTTTGTGATTTCTTTTGAGATTTGAAACCATAGTATAGCTTACCTAGACTACAAATCTACAATGCATATTTCATTTGGTTCCGTTGGTGGAACTAGGGCTTCATGTTTAATATTTGGGAAAATTAATAAAAATACCCCAAACTTTGAAGGGGTGTGAGTTAAACACCCCAAACTTGCATATGTAATATAAATACCCTAAACTTTAAATAGAAAGTTATTTTTGCACCATTGTCATGTATTATTTCTTTCAAAAATGTAAATTTATGGGGTTAGTTGCCTAATTTAAAATAGAAAATTGAAAGTGTTGCAATTATATAGATTGGGGGTAACATTTTTTATTTTCTAATGGAGGTTTAGAATGATAACTTTGTCTTCATGAATTCTAAAATAATTTCAATCATGCAATTAACACCATAAATTTACATTTTTGAAAGAAATAGTACTTGACATGGTGCTAAAATAACTTTTTATATAAAGTTTGGGGTATTTAAATTACATATGCAAGTTTGGGGTGTTCATCTCACACCCCTTCAAAGTTTGGGGTATTTTATTTATTTTACCCTTAATATTTTGCCTTTCTTTTGGTAGAATGCTGTGATGCGTCTTTATGGCGGCGCTCAATATCATCGTGCAATGGCTGAGTTCCGGTTTGTTGTTGGAGGAGTCAAGTGCCCTCCTATAACACGTGAAGAAATTGTGAATGCTTGTGGAGTTGAAGACATCCATGATGGAACTAACTATTCCAGGTTCCCACAAATTGCAGCCTTGCCTTATATGATCTTATTCTATTTCATATAACCATGTTATATGTGTGTGTATGCACATGTATATTTGTATATACATACAGAATTTGGATAACATGAGAACACAATCTAAGGAGAGAAATGAGAATGAATATGGAGTGTTAGGTTTAGGAATTATGCAGTATGTGAAACAAAAATGTGCACTATCATGAATCAGAACATGCGATGGTATTATATAAATAAATTTAACCTTGTATGCCCATTTTAACTGAGCATTATATTTATGATAAATGTGCATCGTTTCAGAACTCGAATCATTCTCACTTCTCACGGAAGAAGTGTTCTCACCGGAACATGACCTTATACATACATACATTGATACAACATACGTTACATACATGTATCATGTATATGTGTATTAATTTATATTTTTATGAACATTTGAGAATTTAGGACTGCATGTGTTATCGCCGTTGCAAAGGCCCGTGATACGTTTGAACCCTTTCTCCATCAGGTGACAGCTTCAATACTACTTCTCAGCCTTTTTATGGTTTAGGGTATATTTGGATCCCTAAAAATGATAGGGAAAGGTCAAATCTATGGTAAGCAAAGTGGTTTCCTTTTGTTTGCTTTTACCTAGGAAAATGCAAAGGAAAACAAAATATATTTTTAGCCTCTATGTAATATAAATAAATAACCACACGAGTGAATAACAACACGAGGGTATATTTGGATATCTATTTTTTTAAGTTTTAGGTTTTAGCCTAAATTTATTATCCCCGTATTTTCATTCCCTACTATTTTCCTCTATGCTTTTCTCCCTATTTTCTTTCCCTTGTTATTCCATGTTCCAAGTGGAGCCCTAATGTTGGAAGTTCATATGAAAAGAAATTCTTATGTTCTAGCATGCTTTGAACATGAACTTGGTAATTTACGAATACCTTTTCTATTGGTATAGTTGGGGTGTAGACTATTGCACATTCTGAAGAGATTACTACCAATTGCTGTTTATCTGCTACAGGTATGGATCATTGTTTTAGAGTTAAAAAATTATTACTCCCTCCGTCCCAATATAAAAGGCACATTTGGTTTTCGGGACTTTTTAAGCGTTTTAACTGTTCACATACAAACTGCCCTTTATGCCCTTCGAATGGGGGTAATTTTAAAGTTACCATGTACTGTTCACTACAGTACACAGCACCTTTTCAGACAAGTGTGGGGCTGTTCTTATTACTTGGCTGCTGGCATTCCAAAAAAAGGAGGGAAAGCTTTCCCTTTCAACACTATTTGTCATCATTAAATTCAAAATTCCCCCCAAAACCCACATTAAAAAGGCAACCGGGCATGTAACGACAGATTACAAGCCAAAAATGGCAGAAAGTTCAGAGTTCCAGTTTGCTAAAACATCAAAGTACAAAAAACTGTCTAATGAAGAAAGAACTATCCACAATCTTCTTCTTGAAAGTCAAAGCCCAGAAGACGGTAAGCTGAGCCATGGGACCTTCGCAAAAATTGCCAAGCAGTTTGGGGTGCAACACAGGGCAATAACAAAAATATGGCATATCCTGAAAGACCAACAAGCAAGTGGACTTCCCTTGAACCCAGAGCTCAAGATGAAGGGAAAAGTTGGTAAGAAAGCTGTACACATTGACTTGTCAAAAATGCTGCAAATTCCTCTACGCAACAGAAGGAATATCAGGTCACTCTCTGCAGCTTTAGGCCATCCTAAATCCAGTGTGCACAGACTCAAACAAAAAGGTGAGTTCAAAAGTCACACATCAGCTATCAAGCCTCATCTTATAGAAATGGATAAAATACAGAGGTTAAAATGGATCATCTCCAACATTGAGAATGACACCATAACACAAGAACCACGGTATAAAGGCATGTTTAACGTGGTACATGTGGATGAGAAATGGTTTTACATGACAGAGGCATCACAGAGGTACTACGTACATCCAGATGAGGTTGAGCCTCATAGGACATGTCAGTCTAAAAGATTCATCACAAAAGTCATGTTCCTGTGTGCAGTTGCCAGACCAATTATACATGCAAATGGTGAGGTCATTTTTGATGGCAAGATTGGAATATTCCCATTTACTGCTATGGAACCAGCTAAGAGAAGTAGTAAAAATAGGTCAGCTGGCATAGTTGAGGAGAAAGCTATAGTTTCATTCACAAAGGAGGTTTACAAGGAATGCCTGCTATCAAAAGTAAGTGGCCTACAAGTGTTAGCAAGCATATTTACATACAACAAGACAATGCAAGGCTCCATATTAAGGTGCATGATAGTGACTTCACAAAAGAAGCCACCTCAGATGGATTTAACATTGAACTAATATGTCAGCCTACTAATAGCCCTGATCTAAATTTGTTGGATCTGGGGTTTTTTAGAGCTATTCAGTCACTGCAACAGAGCACACCAAGAAACTTAGTTCATGAGCTCAGAGTGGGGGTGGAAAATGCATATGCTGAGTTCAATCCTATTTCATTGAATAATGTTTGGTTGACCCTACAGTTATGTATGAATGAAATTTTAAAAGTTAAGGGTGGCAATAACTACAAGCTGCCACATATAGGAAAAAATGCATTGAATGCTTAGGGTATGCTACCAATATGTTTCAAGGCAGACTCCACTACATTGTTGGAGGTCACTCAAGAACTAGGAGAATGAACTTGGATTGACAAGTGTGGAAGTGTTATTTGGGGACTGAACAAGTACAGCATCCACTTTTTTTACTTTTTTGGAATACTACACATGTTCAGTCTTATAAAAAATGGGTACATATGCAGTTGAAGACATGTATAACTTTTTTGGACTGATTGACACAGTAGTGCATCAGTTAAGAATGAAGACTTGTAGGGTTTTGAACATGGACAGTGTTCAGTTTTTTTAGTTTTTGGAATACTACACATGTTCAGGGATAGCTTTTTTGGATATATGACTAGACAAAGTAGGGAACATATGGTCGTAATGCATTTGATGATACCTACTGTAATGTGACAATGAAACTTTTAATGTTGTATTTGGACGGTAAACATTGCTTGCCACAAATCCCCCATGGTCTCCTAGGGTTTCCCCTTATGACTCATGAGGGGTTCAGCCACATAGGAAGCACAAACATCACAGAGCAATTACAGCTATCACAAACACATTCACTTTCACTTCATCATTGAAGAGATTCACATTACAAACTCCAATGGTCTCCTAGGGTTTCCCCTGGTGACTCAATACCACTTATAGCAGCTCCATTAACATTACACTCACCATTAAACACACACTGGCATTTGAAATGTGCATTTTATATAGGGACAAAGTGACTAAGCATTTTTAATGCATCACTTAAGGTCTCCTAGGGTTTCCTCAGAAAAGCACACATAATAGCATGAATAAGTCACAACTGACGTGAGGCCTCATATAATCACAAACAAATTTTCATCATTGACCTCATACAAGCATGACATACTCAACACTATGTACACACTGGACTGAAGCCTCATACATTTGGTTAGGGGACAGATCATTGGCCTCAGAAAAGCACACACAATAGCATGAATAAATCACAACTGGCCTGAGGCCTCATGTAATCACAAACAAATTTTCATCATTGACCTCATACATACATGACATACTCAACACTATGCACACACTGGACTGAAGCCTCATACATTTGGGTCGATCATTGGCCTCAGAAAAGCACACACACTAGCATGAATACATCACAACTGGCCTGAGGCCTCATGTAATCACAAACAAATTTTCATCATTGACCTCATACATACATGACATACTCAACACTATGCTCACACTGGACTGAAGCCTCATACATTTGGTTAGGGGACAGATCATTGGCCTCAGAAAAGCACACACAATAGCATGAATAAGTCACAACTGGCCTGAGGCCTCATGTAATCACAAACACACTTTCATCATTGACCTCATACAAACCGAAGAACCACAAATAACAATTTATCATTGACCTCAGACTGCATGCAACTATCACAGATTACATGGGCCTCGTAGGGTTTTCCCTAGTGGCTCTGAACTGGTAAGCAAGGTAAGCATAGAAGTAGGAGAAAGGAGAGGACCTTTATTTATCAGGGACATAACCAGGGAGCATGAGGGCAATGAACTCATTCATGCGTTCTTGCAAGTCAAGGAGGAGTGTCTCAGGCTCATCCTCTTCTTCAGAGTCCGGAACAATCACATCTGCAAGAGACCCCAAACACTCATTCTCATGCTCATCTTCAGAGTCGGGAACAATCAGATCTGCAAGAGACACCAAACGTTGTTGCTCTACGGATCCAGACAACGGCGCCTGCCAAATCGGGCTTACAGCCGACGACGACTGCCAATTCGGGAATCCAACCCACGGTTCTTCGGAGTCCAGAACAACGGCGGTTTCAACCTCTGAATCTACCACCCATTTTTGTTCCAATTCATCCGTAGCACCTGGCTTTGCCATTGAGATGATGGAATACGAAGAGGGGAAGATGGTTTGATGAAGTAAATGGAGGAGGAATAAGAAATGGATGGAGCGGTAAGAGTGGGTGAAGTAAATGCAGAAGGTGGAATATGAAGTGGGAAGAGGAGAGAGGCATAATGAATGAATGAAGTGGGTGGGAGAGGTAAATTAAAGGGTGGGGATAGATAAGTGATGAGGGTATTGAAGTCATTTACCCTGATTTTTCTTTCCTAAAATAGAAATGTGCATTTTATATTGGGACGGCCCGAAAAGGAAAGTGTGCCTTTTATATTGGGACAGAGGGAGTATTTTTCTGCTTGTAGAACATTTACACATATAATTTCATCTGATATTCTCTTATTTTTTGATGAGATTCTGCAGAAAGACGGTGAATATCTTAGTGGTCATGATGTATTTCTTAGGAGAGTTGCTTCTGCCTTCAACAACTTTGCAGAATCTACTGAAAGATCATGCCATGAAAAGTAATTCCTTAAGTTGTTTTACCTTCCCATTTCTGTTTTTTATTTCAACGATACATTCTTTCCCCTACTATTTTCTGAGTTACAAACAGACCCTTAATGGGTTCAGCCCATTGCTTTCTCTATTCAAGTCTTTATTTGTAATTATGATTAAGAGCCCATTTGGTAATACTGAAATTGGTTAAATCGGCTGATTCCGCTGAAATTGCTGAAGTTCTGACTGAAGTGACTGAATTGGCTAAACTAGCCAATTATATTTAAAATATAAACTACCTTCGTCCCACTAACATTGGGACAAGAGGGGATGACACAATTATTAAGAAGAGCGAGTTTATGTGGTTGATATTGCATTGATAAAGTAAGGATATAGTAAAAATGATTTAGCGTCCCACAAACTTTACCAAATTTGGTATGAGACAATCCTAGTGGGATTTCCCTAAAAGTTAAATCTTAGCGGGACGGAGAAAGTATTATTAATAAAATAAAATAGCTAAACTGGTCCTCTGCCTAGTGGGATTAATGCCATGCATTATTAATATAAAATAAAATAGCTATCTCTCGCCATGTATTACTTTATCCAGAAAGAGGAGTTACCACTTACCACCAAAGTTGGAGGCAAGGAAGTTGGCAGTGGTTGATTTTCTAGTGACGTAGCTGACTGCAAGGAAACTATTTGAAGTGGATGCGGAAGGTTTGACAATGATGTGGAGGCGGGTTTTCTTCTGTGGGTAGTAAAGCGGGTTGTGAAGTCGTTTTGTGTGGAATTGATGATGAATGTGATGGCAGGGAAGCATACTGTATTATGGGGTCGGCTAACATGAATCGATCCATGACATCAGAACCAAAAAGAGAAGAAAGATAAGAAATATAAAAAGATAAAGTAAGATATCTGTTAGCGATCAATTCTTTGGTCGCACATATGCACACAGGGGACAAAGTGGAGCAGAGATGATTAATCCAAGTGGCTAAGGGAAAGATTAAGCAAGTCAGGAGAGTCATATTAGTATTAGGATTATTTTAATTAGTCCTTCTTTAATTCCTATTTCGTTATTAGAGTTATGTCGGAATTAGCAACTAGTTTCCTAATTGTTTTTAGGAAGTTTCCTAATTGTTTTTAGGAAACCCTTAATTTCTACTTAAGGGGATCCCAGTAATTTTAATAAACGGTTTTTGGTTGATTATGAGTTCTCTTGACTAGGTCGGGGAAAAGTAATTATCGCTTAAGCCTTTAGTCTCGTTTATCTCTTCCCAGACAATTAAAATAGCTTCAAACAATTCATCGTTTACCTGCGGCTCTTCTCGTTCACGCCCTTGGACGAGGTCATTAACTAAAGCTCTTAACAATATCATGGCTAAAATAAAGATATATATAAGATTAAATAACATGAGAACATAAGTAAGATAAAAAGTTAAAAGAACATAAGAAAGGTAAAAGATATAAATAACATAAGAACATACAAAGATAAAGAAGATAAAAGATAAAAAACAAGAGGAAGAGGAAAGATCTCTCGTCTGCACAAATATGCGTCCTCCACTTTGCTCTCTCTTAAGTCATACTCTCATCCAACCCAAGAAAAAGCATATTAGTTTTGATTCTTCTAATCCAAATCTGTTTCGGTCTTACTCTCTCTCCTCCCCGCCTCTTCTCCCCACCTTTCAAGTCATCTAACAAGTGTTTCACTTGATCTTTTGTGCTCATGACCAAACCACCTCAATCGAGACCCCTGCATCTTATCTTTAAATAGGTGCTATTCCCACCTTTTGACTGGTTAATTCATTCCTCAAACGGTATTTTCTGGTATGTGCACACATCTAACACAACATACACATCTCTATCACCCTTATCTATTGAATGTGACATCGTTTCAGCGCCCAACACTCTATAACATACATTAATGTAGGCCTAATTATTGTCCGATAAAATTTACCCTTCTGTCTAGTCGGCATACCCCAATCACATAGAAATCATGATGCACTCTTTCATTTCATCCACCGTACTCTGATTCTATGGGATACATTTCCATGTAATTCACCATCCTGAAATATGGAGACCAATTAATGGAACACATGACACTAGTATCTCCTTTCCATCAAGGGTAATTCCATTGTTACAACGACTTCTACATCCACCAAACTTGCACTCCATATACTCAGTCTTGCTTAGGCTCAGTTTGAAACCCTTAGTCTCCAATGTTTGTCGCCAATCAACACAATATCGTCAGCAAACATCATGCACCACGATATATCTTCTTCAATTGACTTTGTAAGTTAATCCATACCTTAACAAATATAGACACTTGTAATACAAGCCTCATACATATTCATGGTGATAATGATATACTTACATGATATGCCTTTTCTAGTTAATGCCCGCCAAAGGAATTCTCGAGCTGCCCTATCATATGAACACCAAATGCAGATCCTTTTTAACAAGAGAATTAGTGCACAAGATTTACATTTTGTTTTGAGTTGCTCCTGGTAATTTATGATTAGGATAGAGCTATGGCAATATACTCGGTAAAATTAGGGCTATGTAAACTGATGATGGCTTGAGAAATGTCTTCTCGATGGTGGTTTGCTACACATATGCTGGGAAGCTTATATAGAGTAGGATCTCAGCTTGGAGGAAGAGAGGTCGAGGCCCCTTTGGGTTTACCAAAGGCAGAGACGGGCTTGAGCCCACCTTCGTGGGCCGGATGCGGGCCGATTAATTAATTTTATTCTATTAAAATTTTCCTGATTTGTTTCATATTTGGGGTTAATTAGGATTTCTATTATTTGATCCTATTTGGAGTCAATTAGGATTTCTATGATTTTGTTTCCTATTTGGAATTAATTAGGATTCCTAGTTTGGAATTAGTAGAAGGGTATTTAAACCCCAAATTAGGGTTCACTCTTGTTTTAACCAATTAATAAAATTGGATTGGAGCCTGGTGGCTTTGGGCAACAAATTCTCCCATTGATTATTAATTTTCTACTCTCATCAATTGGTCTGACCTGTTGGATCCCGTTTTCCCGGAATGACAAGATCAATCAGACAGAGGTGGAGGCAGAACAGGCCGTGATTAACCATAAATTGGATGCACAGAGCGAAGTTGAACTGGCAGAGATCACAACCTCCTTGGCTGCGCTCACGAAGGCTCTCACACTGCCGCCCGCGGAGGAGCATTTATTGGCGGTGGCTTCACAAGGCGCGGCGTCGGCATCCGCGTGCGAAACTGGACCCCGCGACACCTCTCTCGCGACACTGCCCTTATTTGACGGTGAAGACCCTATCGTCTGGATCGCTAGGGCTGAGCGACAGTTTAAATTGAACAAGACCCCGGCTGGAAGAAAGGTGGCAGTGGTCTCGATGGAAAGGGCAGCCTTGTATTGGTTGACCCGGTTGAAGGCGCGCAAGACGGGCTTGTCATGGGAGGACTTCACGCAAGCACTGGTGGCGTGATTCGACTCTCAGTTCAAAGGCAGACTGTTTGAATGACTGTCTGGAGTTAGTAGACAGGGACGGTGGAGGAATACAGCACACTTTTCATTCAATTGGGCAGTTAAGTTTCCGGGCTGTCCTTTGAGAATGGTGTTCGAGGGAGCCAATCATACGATAATGCAGGGACGCGTTCGGGCATTTTTTATCGGTCGAGTTTGAGTCATAACAAGACCACAAGTGGTGGCACCATGAGGGGCTCGAGTGACAGCTTTCTTAAAGTTACTAGGCAACCCATGGGGACAAATTTTGGGCTGTCTGGGCCATAGATACATAAATTGCTCAGACTATCGTGATCTACGTTCTGAATGCCGCGTACCCAAACGCGGTACGAAAACGTTCCGAACGCAAGTCGGATCGCAGGAGCAATCGCATCGCCAATCGATCCCAATCGCTTTTGAGGTCGTTCTCCATCGCTACATACTCCGTTCCCAAATGCAGCTGGTGTCGACCGCAACAACATCCGGAACGCGCTGAATCGCAATCTCCAAACCAGACGCGTTCATACTTGGCCTTTCCTGTGCGGATACCTGTGCAGAAAACTAAGCAGACGTGTTTATTTGAATTTGAAACTTTGAATCATTTCTACTTTCTACAACTCTTCGATTTCTACAAACTTCGATTATCAAAGTTACGACCTACGAACTCTTCAATGAACTTCAGTCTTCACTTCAACTCTTCACTTCAGCGTTTATCAATGTTTTCAGTTTTTACTTCAAATTTATTAATGTTTTCAGTTTTCACTTCAAACTCTTCACCTCAGCATTTAGTAATTGTGGTACTGTTTTCAGTTTCTTGATGTTTTCTATTTCTGGATTTTTTTTATTCAGTTCAATGTTATAACTTATGATTATGAAATCTGTTTTTGATTGATGTTATGACTTATGAAATCTGAAATTCAGTTTTATTTTAGTACCAAAATATAAGATACATCGTACCGAACATGTGGTACACCGTACCGAACATGTACTGGAATGAACCTACCCCCCTCCGAATCGGATACGCTAGATCTAGCGAACTGCGTTCCCGTTCCACGTCCCCGTACCGGATCATTCCGTGAACCATGTGACTATGGTCTGGGCAGCCCATGTGAACAAAGTCGGGGCTGTCTTAGCAGTTTACTGCACGTTCCAGGTTCACTCGACTTTCGCTGAAGGTGTTAGAAGAATTGTGGGCAAAAAGATTATGCTTTAGGTGTAAGAAACCATTTACACCAAGGCATGACTGCCCATTTAAGCAGTTACGGGTAATGATAGCTGAGGACGTGGAGTTGACCAAATTCGGGGCTGACTTAGCAGTTTACTGCACGTTCCAGGTTCACTCGACTTTTGCTGAAGGTGTTAGAAGAATTGTGGGCAAAAAGATTATGCTTTAGGTGTAAGAAACCGTTTACACCAAGGCATGCCTGCCCATTTAAGCAAGTTACGGGTAACCGCTTAAATGGGCCTCCAACAACATGATTATTGTGAGATAACCGGCTAGGAAGAAGTTCAGGAAGATCAGGGGGTTCAGAATGAGATTG